GCTGTCCCCACCGAGGTTCTGCCCTCACAGGAGGCTGAGCGTCCCCAGACAGTTGAGGCCCAGCCCCTCACCCTGGCCTTGCGGCCTAGAGCACGACTGTGGCTTCAGAAACCCTTCCAGACCCCTGACCTCTGCCCTGAGCTGCCCTGACCTCTACCCCGGCCCCTCAGGCCACCCTTCTGGGTAGCCTTCGCCCCCAGAACCTGGGGCTGGCAGGGCAGAGGCGGGAGTTCCGCTGAGAAGTTTGGGCCCTCCTGCGCTCCGTAGCTGGGCACCTTCCTGGCTGGGCTGGGGGAGGCCTGCGCTGGGGATGTGTTCTCTGGGGCTGAGTGGGGCAGAGGCGGACCTGGGCCCAGGCAGGGGCTGGCCTAGGTGTTCCGGGGGGGCTGGAGGGGCAGCGGGGGCGCTGGGTGTGCCAGTGAATGCCCCAGGCGCCCTCTGTTTCCTGGGCAGCTCTGCGGCTATGGATGTGTTCCAGAAGGTAGAGAAGATCGGAGAGGGCACCTATGGGGTGGTGTATAAGGCCAAGAACAAGGAGACGGGGCAGCTCGTGGCCCTCAAGAAGATCAGGCTGGATTTGTGAGTGCCCGGAGGGCCCCGGGACACACCAGCCCCAGGGGTGACCCCCGTCCGTCCCACACCTCAGGGTGCACTTCTGAGTGTGCCCAGTTACAGCGGGGGGTGGGGCGCAGAGGTGCAGCCCTCCTCGTTCCCTCCACGCTTTGCCCGGGGCCCCTGGTGGTGCTAGTGTGTGCCTCATGAGGACCGCAGCGCCCCGTCGCTGGGGGCCGGGCCATCCTTCTGGAATACGGAACACACAGGTGACTCCCCCCCGGGGCAGAGGCACCCTTCTTGGCTCCCTGCCTCCACTGCCGTGCCCTCCTTTCCCGTAGGGAAACTGAGGGAGTCCCAAGCACTGCCATCAGGGAGATCTCCCTGCTCAAAGAGCTGAAGCACCCCAACATCGTCAGGTGAGGTGGGGAAGGAGGCGGGGAGGCTGGGCCCGTCTCCGTCCAGCCGGGAGCCGTGTTGTGACTGGTGGACCCCGGCCAGGCTGCTGGATGTGGTGCACAGCGAGAAGAAGCTTTACCTGGTGTTTGAGTTCCTCAGCCAGGACCTAAAGAAGTACATGGACTCCACGCCGGCCTCCGAGCTCCCCCTGCACTTGGTCAAGGTAGCGAGGGAAGGATGGGGAAGGCCAGCGAACGCCCCCCTCCACCAGCCCCACTTCCGCTCATCCGGCCCCTTCCTTGCTCCCTGTTGCAGAGCTACCTCTTCCAGCTGCTGCAGGGGGTGAGTTTCTGCCACTCTCATCGGGTCATCCACCGAGACCTGAAGCCCCAGAATCTGCTCATCAATGAGTTGGGTGCCATCAAGCTGGCTGACTTCGGACTGGCTCGAGCCTTCGGGGTGCCCCTACGCACCTACACCCACGAGGTTCCGCAGGCCTCGGGGGAGAGGACGGCTGAAGGGATGTGTCACCTGAACACTCAGCCACCCTGCATGATGCTGTTTTCTTGCTCCCACAGGTGGTGACACTTTGGTATCGCGCCCCTGAGATCCTCTTGGGCAGCAAGTTCTATTCCACGGCTGTGGATGTCTGGAGCATTGGCTGCATCTTTGCCGAGATGGTAAAGAGGGACAGACATGGCCACGGGGGGGGGCTACAGGCAGGGTCCTGCTGGGGGAGGGGGGGGACAGTGCGACACTGATGCACCCATTAGAGGTGGGTTAAGGGGTGTTTGGGCCTGGCTGCGGGACTAAGGAAGCGGAGCTCATTCCAGAAAAGGTCAGGGTTCTCAGCACAGCCCCGGGAAGGATATCTCATCTGGTGTTGGATTCTGTATGACAAGGGGGTGGACCCCTCACCCCATCTCCCTCATTGCAGGTGACCCGTAGAGCCCTGTTTCCTGGTGACTCTGAGATTGACCAGCTCTTTCGGATCTTTCGGACCCTGGGGACGCCCAGTGAAGCCATGTGGCCAGGAGTCACCCAGCTGCCCGACTATAAGGGCAGTTTCCCCAAGTGGACCAGGAAGGGGTTGGAGGAGATTGTGCCCGGCCTGGAACCAGAGGGCAAGGACCTGCTCATGGTAGGTACAGGTGGGGGGCAGGGGAGGGCCAGAAAGGCTGCTGCTCCCACCACAAGTGTCCTCTTTGTCAGCCAGCCCCTGGTGTCACCTCACCTCCTTCGGAGTCTCTTTTCTGACCCCTGATTGTCCCACACCCTGCACATACTGATTGTTCAATCTGGAGACCCCCTCCCCTGAGGAGTCGAGTGTTTGTGTTTCCTTTTAAAACTCCGATCTTCTAGTTAGCTTTGTTTTTATGCTGTGATGCCTGCCCTTTCTCTGTAAGCTCTCCCAGGCAGGGAGCACGCCTCCTGCCATGGTGGTTACTCTCTGCACCAGGCTGTTCCCTGCCGTCTGGGCCCCTGCCACACAGCCTTCACTCACCTGTCCTATTGTACCATCTTGACCCACTGGGCTGGGCCCAGGCCAGGCTGCTCGGGAGGCCCCAGGTAGAACCACCTCTTCTTGCCCACAAAGATTTGGGGCCACGTTTGTCTCTTTAATCTGGTCGTTGGGCCGGAGGAAGGCAGGGCCGTATTTTCATCTTTCCAGAGGCCTGCGTAGGTCTGTCTACCAACCCAGTGCCAGCAGGACGGCATAGACCTCCAGCCAAGTCGCTTAGCATTCCATCGGGATTACTCCTAGGCAAGGGGTCTGTCTGCAGCCTAGCCGGGCTCAGGGACTCCTACTTCCTGCCCCGCCCTCAAGCACGCGCCCTGGACAGCTTGGGCCCTCGCCTTCTCCATACATAGAAGTCTGTCTCAACCAGACACAGGCTGAGGCCTGGGAACCTCAGGCAGGGAGAAGACAGATGGTCTCAGCCTCTAGTCCGCAGGAGGCGGGGAAGGTCTCCCAGGGCCGGACTGGAACTCATTCTTTGTCCCCACATTCCGAGAGCATCCAGAACTGGCTTGCGAGCTGGGAGATGGTAGTTGCCTGCGGGTCTGGCTTGAAGGCAGCTGCTCCTGGGTTTGGGGCCCGCCCCCTAGGGCCCGAGGGTAACTCCTCTCAGGGGCCCGGCCCAGCCCAGCCCAGTGCTCAATCTCTTTTCTCCTCCTTCCTCCACAGCAACTCCTGCAGTACGACCCCAGCCAGCGGATCTCTGCCAAGGCCGCCCTCGCACATCCGTACTTCTTGTCCGCTGAGACCTCCCCGGCCCCCCCGCAGTGTGTGGTGGAGCGTTTCTGCCGCTGAGAGGGTGTGAGGTCCTCCGCCTCGGAGCCTCTCTCCGCTGCTGCCCCAGCTGCCTCCCCACCCATGTCCCAAGAAAGAGGACCTATCTGGGAGAGAGCAAAGTTCTGAGGAATTTGGCATCGGCCGCCAGAGAGCGGAGTTTGGGTTAGTCCTGCCCGCAGGTTAACGAGTTCCAGTGTTGTTTGTTGGGTTTGACAGTATTGGTTCAAGACGGGGGCACCGGAGCTCTGTGTGCAGGGGGTATGTTAGAGGTTGGGCCCCCTGCCGCAGGAACAGCTGCTGAGATGAGAAGGAAGCCTGCCCCCGTGTGGCGGCGAGGCAGAGCCAGACAACGCCCCCCCCCCCAAGGGAAGGGGTGCCCCCTGCCGGTCTTTTTGGCTTTAAAATGTTTGGGGGAAGAGTTGCATACCAGTTAAGAGTCCCAGTTTAACGGGAAGAGAGAGGACATTTTCCTGATCCCAGGGAACGTCTGGGATGTGTGTGGCTGTTCTAAGTACTTGTCTTATACTTAGGCTATGCTTATGTTGTTTGCCTCTGGCTTTAAGAACAGTAAATAAAAGTGCTATATTTCCTGAGTTTTCCAGTGTTTTTCTTGGGGGCGGGGGGGGGGGGGGGGGGGGGGGGAAGGGCGCGTACCAAGGACTTGCTGACAAGGGGGAGGTTGACAGAACGCTGGAGACTGTTCCTGGCCAGAAGTCAAAGTCCAGGAGCAGAGGCAGTGGGGACGGGAGGGGCTGTTCAGGGTCTCTCCGGGGCCTGCCGTTGCACCGCTCCCAGAGTCAAGGGAGCCAAAGCCCTTGGAAGCATCCATTCCCTTGGCCAGGCTGGGTGGATGGGTCTGCTTCCCACCTGGGAAGGACCCCAGCAACGCTCCCTTGTGCTTATGGCTCAGACAAATCCATCCTGCATTCCCAAATGTGAACTAGACGCGGGGAGAACTCATTTATTGGAAGCACCGGGGCAGGGAGGAGGGAGGAGAGACAGATGTGCCAATGGCTGGGTCTGGGGATGGGCTGGGCAGCCAAAGTTGGGGGAGGGGTCCCACACCGCAAACTTCCGAGTAATAGCACAGGTATCAGAGGATGGACCCACCCGCTTGGATGAGGCTGTTCCCCGGGGCGAGGAGTGCACGTGTCCCACCCTCCCCCTCACACCCGCTCCCCGGGACCGCCTGGCCCCCTCAGCGCAGGGGCAGGGAGCGCAGTACTGAGGGGGAGGCGGCACGGTAGCAGCGGTACCCCTCCAGGGCAGCTGGGAGCAGCAGCAGGCCGCTCAGGGGGTCCCTCCGGCAGCGCCCCATGGCCTCCTTATAGCTCATCCGCTCCTTGGAAATGGGGTCTGTCAAATCCTTCTCATAGCCGGACTCCTCCTGCAGAAGCTGGGCCAGCTCCTCGCTGATCATTCCAGAGAGCACCGCCTGCGGGACCGGGATGCGGCCGGTCCTCTTGGGGTCGATGAGCCCCCCAGTCAGGTGCTGCACCTGCAGGTGTGGGAGCACGCTCTCCCGGGGCATCCAGCCCTTCTGGACGGCCTCACCCACCGACAGCCTCTTCTTGGTGACGGGATCCTCGATGCCCGTGAAGGCCTTCTGGGCGTTGAGCAGCCTCTGCGTGGAGGTGTTCTCGATCAGCCCCCTCTCCATAGCCTTGTGCACGGAGTAGCGCTCCCGGCTGAGGAGGTCTATGATGCCCCCCGTGGCCGCCTGGGCCTCCAGCAGCTTCTGCCCGGTGATGGGGTCCAGCATGTTCTTGGCCACTGCCGTCTTGATGGTGCATTTGTTGTCTGTGGTTGTGTCGTAGATGCCGGCGATGGGGAAGCTGTCATCGCCGAGTCCGAGAGAGAGGCTGGGAGAGAAGAAACCGGTGCCCTGGGGTGCTGGGGAGGCCAGGGGGGACTTGGAGATGATGGAGCCGATGGAGAGTGAGGAGCAGGGCTTGGTCTCCCCCGCCACGAGCAGAGCGAACTCGGAGATGGGGAGGCGGCCGTCCTTGTAGAGATGGTACTCTTCCTTGGAGATGCGCCGACAGCGCAGGGCGGCCTCGATGGAGTACTGCTTCCCGCTCTTGCGGTCCAGGAGCACGGACTCCTCCCCACAGGGGCCCGAGGTGGTGACCTCCTCCCAGTCACACTCGAGCTCCTGTAGCTGAAGGTACTGGCCTCGATCGATGATGCCCCTCTTGTAGGCCTCGTATGGGGACATGTCCTTCCCCGTCTCCGGTTCCAAGATGGAGATCTTGGTGGAAAGGTTGGTCTCTCGCGTCTGGGTCTCCTGGTTGAGCTCCTCCCTGCTCACCTTGGCGTGGAGGTCCCGGAGGGTCCTCTCCTTCTCGTGGATCTGGTCCTTCTCGCGGAGGATGGCCGCCTCGAGCTGCGAGAGCTCCTGGCCCCGCTGGGCGGCCTTCTGCCGCTCGCTCTCCGTCCTCCGGCTGAGCAGCTGCGCCTCCTCCTGCAGATGCATCACCGTCTGCTGCTTCTGCTTCTCCAGCTCCCGCAGCTCCTGCTGCAGCTGCCTTCGCTCCTGGGCCGCCTGGTCCCGGCCCTTCTGCAGCTCGGCCTCCTCCCGGGCCCGCGTCTTCCTCAGCGCCTCGGCCTTGTCGATGCGCTCCCGCAGGTGCCGCACCTCCTCCTCCCGGCTCTGCCGGGCCGAACGCTCCCTGTTGAGCGCCTCCCACGCCCGGGACCGCTCACCCTCCAGCACCCGGTCCTTCTCCACCCGGATTACCTCCTTGTAGATGGTCTTCTCTTGCGCTTTGGTTGTCTGGAGGACGTCGATCTGGACCCTCAGGTTCTTGCACTCCCGATGCAGCCCCGTCACCCGGGCTTTCTCCTGGTCCAGGTCCTGCCGCAGGGCTTCTGTGGACTTCTCCAGGTCCGGGTCCTTCTCCAGCTTGACCACCTCCTCCATGATGATCTTCTCTTGCGGCACAGGAGGCCGCTCCTCGAGCTCCCGGATCTTCAGGGTCAGCCGCCGCAGCTCCCTCTCCGCGGCCAGCTTCTTGCCCCGGTCCTCCTGGAAGCTGAGCAGGCCCTCCTTCTCCTGCACGCCAGCCTGCAGCTGCCGGACTTCCCGCTCCAGCTGCCGCCGCCGGCCCGCCTCCTCGTCCAGGCTCCGGCTCAGCCGGCTGTGGTCCTCGCGGAGCTTCGGGTCCTTCCGGGTGACCACCACCTCCTGCACCACCACCTTCTCCTCGGGCCGCCTCCTCTCCAGCAGCAGGTACTTACTCTGCAGCTCGGAGACCGCATCCTCGGCCGCCCGCCTCTTCTGCGCGGCTTCTCGCACCTCCTGGCGCAGCCGCTCGGCCTCCTTCTCCAGGACGGGGTCCTTCTCGTGGCGCACCACCTCCTTGTTCACCGTCTTGGTCTCCACCTTGGAGCGCTCCCGCTTCCACTCGTCGCGCTCCCCCCGCAGGCGGATGAGCTGCTCCCGGGCCCGCCCGCTGCCGTTGACCAGCTCGTTGAGCTGCGCCTTCAGGTGGTCGATTTCCCGCAGCACCTCGGGGCTCCTCTCGTGTTTCACCACCTCCTGCGTCACCTCCTTGTACTCCACCGCGGGCTTCTGGGCGCGCAGGGCCGCCAGGCCGGGCAGCAGCGCCGCCACCTCCTGCTCCACGCGGCTCCTCTTGCCAGCGGTCTCCTGCAGCTGGGCCCTGAGCCTCGCCATCTCCTGCTGCGTCTCCGGAGCCACCTGGAAGGTCTCGTGGACGCGCTCCTGGAGCTCCACTTTGGGCTTCTGCTTCTCCGCCGCGCCGTGCCTTCCCCGCAGCTCCTCCAGCTCCCGCGCCAGGGTCGCGTTCTCGCTCCGGGTCTCCTCGAGGAGGCTCCTCAGCCTCGCCGCCTCTTCGAGAAGGCCCGGGTCCCGCTCCACCTTCTTCACCTCCTTCACGATCACCTTGGGCTCCACGGCGCCGATTGCCCGCTCCAGCTCTTCGAGACGAGCCCGCAGCTTGGCCACGGCCTCCTCGGCGCCCTTCCTCCGCACGGTGTCCTCTTCCAGCTGCAGCCTCAGGGCCTGGGCCGCCTTGAGCATCTCCAGGTCCTTCTCCACCTTGACCACCTCTTTCACCACAACCTTCTCCTTCACGTTCGGCTCCTTCTTCTCCAGGGCCAGCAGCTCCTTCTTGAGCTCCTCCAGCCGGACCGAGACGGTGGCGTTCTGTCCCCGCAGGTGCTGGATCTCGCGGCCGAGCTGGGCCGCCTGGCTGTCCAAGTCAGGGTCCCTCTCGATCTGGGTGACCTCCTTGGTCAGCAGGTGGGGCTGCATGGCCCTCCTCTTGCTCTCCAGCTGGACCACCTGCTGGGCCACTGCCTCCAGGTCCGCCTGCAGGCTGGCCCGCTTCTTGCCCTCATCCTCCACCTGGGACTTCACCCTGGACAGGTCGCTCTCCAGCTGGGGGTCCCGGTAGAACTCCACCACTTCCTTCTCTTCCAGCCTCTCCGAGGGCCGCTGGGTCCTCAGCTGCAGCAGCCGGTTCCTCTGTTCCTCCAGCTCGTGCTGCACCTGAGCTACCCGCTTCCTCTCCTCCTCCAGCTGGGACTTCAGGGCCTCGGAATCCTTCCCTGCTCGGGCTGGGCCCTCAGACCCCTGCCGTGCATCATGGGTCACCTGGATATCCTCACTGAGCTCCTTCTGCAGAGGGAGAGGAGGAGGGAAAGAGTCCTGGAGGGGAGGTGGGCTGGGGGGGGGGAGGGATGAGCCCCATTTCTATCACCCCCACTGCACGCTGAGATCAGAGACCCCTCCCTGCTTCCTGAGGCTTCTGGTAGGTTCCGGGAGCAGGAGTCGCAGTCGTTGGACTCAGGATTTTGAGAGGACCCCTCAGCCCCACGATGCAAGGCAGTGTTCGGGAGGAATTTGCACCAGAATGTGCAAACAGGACAGGGTCTCCTTTCCAAGCCTCTGCCCCTCCCCTTCCAGCCAGGCTCCCGGGTATGGGCCCACGCTCCTCTGGGGGTGTCGGTGTAGGAGAAAGATGGCAAGTTCCTCAGCCAGACACCAAGAGCCATGGAAGGCTTCTGTCTCCCAGGGATGGAGACTTAGGTGGCCTCTTGCCCCTTGAGGCTGGTCCTGAGCTAAAGACTTCGTGGGGATTTTCTCCTGTCCCCACTGGCAGACTGCCCAGTGGCTAAGCTGTGACTGCACTGAATGACATCTCCAGGGCCTGACTCTGAGACGGTTACCAGCCTGGAAGAGCCGCTGGGGAGAGAACCGGGGAAGGTCGAGAGCTGTACCCCTCAGGCCGCCGAGCCTGCCATGTCCGTGACCAGCCCAGGCTGCCTCGCACAGGGACGGAGTGGGCGCTGTCCCCGTACCTTCTCCAGCATCCTTCTGGCAAACTCCAGCTGGCGCAGCTGCTGCTGGCATGCAGCTGCCACCTCCGTGTAGGCCTTTGTCAAGTTCTTCTCCTAGAGACGGGAAGCAGGGAGGGAGAGGGAGGACAGGGTCAGCTCCAGCTGTAGAGCTGGCAGGGCTGGCGCCGAGGGACACTGAGCCTCGCCGGGTCCCATCGCACCTGGGCCTGGATGCTCTCCTGCAGGGGAGCTACTCGGGGTCTCTTGGGGGCTGACCCTGCCTGAGTGGTCTCCAGGGAGCAGCGGTAGGTATCTGCCTGCAACGCGTAGTCCTGAACAGGGAGGGAAGGACAATAGGCCGATGGTCAGTGGGGGAGACAGGGGATGGGAGAGCAGAGGACTGGCGGGGGGGGGGAGAGAAGTGAAGTGCTTACCTGGAGGGCTGCCTGCAGGTCCTGGGAGAGGCGGGACGCCATGGCCCTGTCCTGCTCTCGGCCCTGGATCTCCTGCTGTAGCCTCTGCCAGGGAGGAAGCGGGAGTCGAGGGAGGTCGGCAAACACCATTCAGCCAGGCCCTCCTCCGGGGCCTCAGGCAGCCAGCACGCTCCAGGGGCCGCAGGGGCAGGAGTTCGCCTGGGCAACTGCCCTTTCCGGGAATTCTTCCTTCCTCTTTTTGGGAGAATCCCTTCCTTCTGCCCAGTGCCCCTCAGAGTCACGTTCTAGCCCAGGGGCCTTCACCCTGTGACCCACCTAGAGAGCTTGTTGAAACAGAGATTGAAGGTCCCCCTCCAGAGGTCATGACTGAGCGGAGCTGGGCTGGGGCCTGAGAATTTGCACGCCTAACTGTCTCCATGATGCTGGTGCTCCAGGTCCAGGGACCTGAGGACCACTGCTCCATCTGAATCGTTCCTAACCTTGGCCACCCCTTTTCTTCACTTGGGGAACTTTCTAAACAGTGCTGATGTGGGGCACCCGGGTGGCTCGGCCAGTTGATCGTCTGACTCCTGATTTCGGCTCAGGTCATGCATGATCTCACAGTTCGTGAGATCGAGCCCCACGTCTAGCTCACGTGCTGTCTGCTTGAGATTCACTCTCTCTGTTCTTACTTCCGTGCACACACGCAGGCTCTCTCTCTCCCTCAAAATAAATAAATAAACTTAAAACAACAACAAAAAAGTACCGACATTCTGGTCCTGGCGATTCCAATTTAATCAGTCTGGAGTGGGGTTCTGGGACAGGGATGTTTTAAAAGCCCCCTGGGTGATTCTAATCTCCAGCCAGGTCTAAGAATCTCTGTCCCAAGCCACCTGCCCGACCTTATACCCCTTTGCTTTCTCCCTAGACACTGTCATTCCTCCTGCAGCCCCAGGCCCTTGTCTTCCAGACCACTTGCCCTGACCCCCCTGTGTCCTGCCAGGGGCTCCCACGGGGCTCTGGCTCTCCACCAGAGCCCTCGCCAGCAAGGTGGTCTGCAAGGCACTGGCCTCCCCCACCAGACTGGCTGTGCCCGTCGCCTCTGGTTCGTTGCCAGTGCGTAGCAGGGGACTGGCAAGTAGGAGGAAGAGGATGAGGGGGGAGCTGGAACCCCCAGGAGCGTAAAGCTCGCTGCCCACATCATACCAGATGGCGCTGGGCTTGCCGTTTCTGTGGGCCAGGCGGAGCGAGTGTTTAGGGTGGGGGTGACCCCAGCAGGGGCCTGAGCTCTGAGGTCTCTTAGAACGCTGGCCACTAGGGGGCCACACTCACGTGGGCGGCTCTCCCCGTGGGGAGGGCCCCCAGAGAGGCTGGAGGTGGCCTGCGGTCCCAGCTCCTCACCTTCTGCGCCTGCAGCTTGTAGGCCACCTGGCTGGGCCCATCGCTGGGCCGCACCTGGTTGTGGGGCAGGTGCTCCAGCCAGAAGCTCAGGTTGTCCCTGCAGTTCTTGAACTGCTGGTAGGTGAGGCTGGCGTCCTGCAACATCTTCTCCCTGCAGGAGGAGGAGGCCCGGAGCAGAGGTGACGGCTACCCTCTGGGGACAGGTGAGGGGTGCACAGAGGAGACTGGTGGGTGCCTTTCTCCCTGGAACAGGTCAGAAGGCCCTATTCTGGGCCTATGCTGGAGCTGAGCATTCAGGGAAGGCCCAGACAGTCTCTGCCAGGGAGGTAGGCAGGCTCGCCCTGGGAGACGGGTGCAGTTATTATCCCATTTTAATTAGCAATAATCGCGCCTCGGATAAACCTCATTAGCTACGATACTGCCACTGTGCAAAGCTGGTTATTATCCCGTTTTAGAGTTGAGGAAACCCAGCCTCAGAGAGATGAAGTCACCAGTCCAAGGTCACACAGCTAGGTGGCAGCAGCCACTGCTGTGCACTGGGAGGGGGGCGTGCCTCGAGCCTTAACAGCCCAGCCACTCACCGCAGGTCCAGCTGGTCCCCCACAGCGTGGTAGCGGTCGGTGAGGGCCCTCGCCTGGCGCTGCTGGTGAGGCAGATCTTGGCAGAACTCGCGGAAGCTGTTCTGCAGGGTGCTGCACGCATGCTCGGTGGCCTTCAGCTCGCGGTGCAGCCCCAGCACGCAGGCCTGCTGTTCCAGCAGCTCCCTCCGCAGGCGCTGGGGAGGAGGGGACATGGCGCCATGCACCCTCATGGCTCCATGAGTCACCACGCCCACCCCCCCCACCGCCCGCAAATGCTCAGCAAGGCCACCCGGCCCCTCACCTGCAGCTCGCTGACCCTCTCCTGCAGCGCGCCTGGGCTGGCAGGGAGAGGGGCCTCCTGTGCCACAGAAGATTCCAAGCCTCGGATGACCCTCTCCGTGTCCTGGATCTGCCGCTCCAGACCCAGGGCAGCTCTGGCTCTGTGTCAAGGGGGCCCCATGTCAGGAGCTCCCAGGGCCACACGCACCCCAATGGCACCACCCAGCGGTCCCCCTTCCCAGTCCCTGGAGCACTTACTTCTCCCCGTAGAGGTTGCAGAGAACCTGAACATCACTGTACTTGTTCTTGACGCTGTTGAGGACCACAGGCAGGTGCAGGGCCACGGGGCCCACGGGCTGGCCAGACAGAAACGCTTCACACTCCTGCTGGGCTGCCTCCTTCTCTGCTCCCAGGCTCTGCAGCCGCTGGGCTGTGCCCTGGGGCGGGGCGGGGCGGGGCG